TTCCTAGCAATTTGATGAAGCTTAAAAGTGTATGGACCCCAAGTCAGAAAAATTAGAAACATTTATAATCATTTATCTTTTGTGAGCACTGCAGGGGCTGGGATATAGAAAGGCTGGAGAGATTCAGATAGCTGGGTTCAGATTCTACATCAGGACTCAAGACGAAGAGTGGGTAGTAACGCCCACAGAAGATAAAAAGACAGAAAGGTAAACTGTGTGGAACATAATTAGCTAAGAATCTATAGAATCACATTCTATACAGTGCTCTTTATCTAATTATGACACCTGTATGTAATAGTGATGAAAATCTGTGCCCCAGTGACCAGGTTGAATTTTCTTGTCTAAACGACTCTCTAATACTACATGGCCATTGGCCTGTGCATATCATAAACCTGATTTATATGTATTTATTCCTTCATGTGTTTGCACGTATTAACATGTCTGAATATGTGTGGTCATCTGTAATGACCACAGACATATAAATTATACATGTTTTATTTATTTCAGTGCCTCACTGTAGGATGATGGGAAGCAGTTGAACCAAGCACTCGGAGTTTCAGGCCTCTTCCAGTGTCAGCTCTGCCCCAAGCCCCCTAGGAGAGCTCCATCAGAGCACATGCTTGTCCATCTATGAAACAAATTTATAAAATGATGACTCCTTAACAAGACTTACCCCCCCTCCTTTTTTTTATTAACAAGCCAGTGAAGACTACAGTTTTGCTTAAGTTTTTTTTTTTCTCACTTCTTGGTCCATTCTTTGTCTAGATTCTAATTCTGGACATAATTCACTTTTATACTCATTTTCTCTGCTATAACTAGAAAATAGAAATAAAATATCACCAAAATGTTATTTTGTAAGAACATTTGGCAAGCACATCCAGCACATGGCCTTTTTTAGTACCAATGGGTATCCTTTCCTGTGGTGAATATTTATAGCACACTGTCTTGAGTCAGTGTTCTATCGCTGTGAAGAGACACATGACCATGGCAACTCTTGAAAAAGAAAGTATTTGATTGGGAGCTTACCTAGTTTCAGAAGTTTAGTCCACTATCATCAAGGTGGGGAGCACAGAAGCATGCAGGCACACATGGTGCTGGAGCAGTAGCTGAGAGTTATATCTGGATCTGCAGGCCCATAGAGCTACGGGACCTGGTATGGATTTTGAAATCTTAAAGCCCAATCCAAGTGAAATACTTCCCTCCAAAAGGCCACTTCTCTTAATTCTTCTAATCCTTTCAAGGAGTTCTACTCCCTGGTGACTAAACATTCAAACCTAAGAGCATATGGTGGCCACTCTTATTGTAACCAAGACACACACTAAAGCACATGGAAGACATAGCAGTTTGGAATATATGCTCATTTCACATTATTAGTAACACACATACAAAACATGGACTAAACACAGTCGCACTGTGGAAGAAACAGATATTTAGCACATTATTTTGCCAAAACTAATTAACTAAGATACACCATGGAATTGAAGTGAAAGTTGGAGCTGTTAAGATGGTTGGGCAGGATGTCTGACCTGGAGGGAAAGATGACCTTGAATGCAAGCTCTATTTCAGTCACTTGGTTCTATTGGCCTTAAAATTTCTCACAATATAAGGAATTTCTCATTTTTTCACATAATAGAAAACTCAAACAATCTGAAACCATGTTCCTCATCATAATCTTCACTGATCTCATATGCACTCTGATCTCTCATTAATTTATAATTATTCTGAGTTATTTTTGTTGCTGTTTTGTTTTAAATACCTTGTACAATAGATACCTATTAAGCTAACCGTTACATTTTTGGGATTCAGACATAAAAGTCACATGTTCCCGCACTGAAACAGCCATGGTTGTGATGGGCAGACTTAAAAACTGGTCAGCAATTGACTTCTGGCTCACTGAGAAGGACTTGATCTCAAAGCTGTTTAAAGCACTAGCGCCTTGGTTCCGGGGTCAGGATGGGAGCCACATAAGGATGTTGCAGGTCCCGAGTCAGCTGAAGGAGCAAGACCGGGCCAAGATGGTAGTGAAACATAAAGGAACTGCCTCCCTCCCCTGCCTCTGCCTCACAGGGACAGCAACCTTGCTCTCCTAAACCAGCTGCTGCTGGGACTGTAGCAGAACCTGCACCGTAATCAGGAAGCAAGGCTCCACAGGCTCCCACAGGCTTCAAATGCCAAAGACTTAACAGGAGCTGGAGAGTGCACGGCTCTCACGGGTGTGTTCACAGGCCTTGGAGCTCTTGTAATGTGTGACAACTGGAAGTGGCCTGGTAAAGTGGACTGTCCAAATGGGGCCCAGACCTTCCTGCTGGCTCATGATCCTCTCTTTGCACAGTAGACAAAATTTTGATGTGAATTAAAACAAACAAACAAACAAACAAACAAACAAACAAACAACTGGTCAGCATTGACTATTTTAAGATAGGAATCCTTTATGAACTACAAAGAGTTAGCAAATGTAGAAGATGGAGGTGGACAGCTGTTGACTTTTGAAAAGAAATCATAGTAGGAAATACCAGGCTCTTTCTTCCTCTCCACCCCACCCCTTTTTTTCTGAGGTTATAACATAATTACAATATTTCCCCTTCCCTTTCCTCCCTCCGATATCTCTCACATGCCCTTTCCACTCAGTCCTTAGAACTTTACTTGTTCGCGTGTTTTCAGGGCTGATCATTTGGTACTGGATAACCAATCTGTATGCCTTTCCCTGGGGAAGTCCACCTCTCCTGCTCCCCACTTTCCTCAGTTGCCTATAGTTCTTTGTGTAAAGTCGAAGCCTTGTGGACTTTCTATGTGGCGTATCTACCGTTGTCACCCATGTTCAGCTCTTGCTTAGAAAAATCATATTGGTGAGACTTTATGGGTGCAAACTCTCTGATCTCCATACTCTTACAATCTCTCTGCTCCTTCTTCTGAAATTTTCCCTGAACTCTAGTTATGGGAGTGTTTTGTAGATGTAGCCATTGTTATTGGAGAAGAATCTACAACCACTATTTTACTAAACCAGCATAATACCTAGCAACAGTCTAGAAAAATGTGTCCTTATGCACACAGAGAAGAATAGTCTTTATCTCTCAAGGAAACTTCTTTTTGAAATACATGGAGACAACTACAGAAAATCACAACCAATCTAAATGCAGGGTTGGAAGAGCCATGCTCTTTCTTAAAATAAGAGTTTCATCCATTGAGAGACCTGTATGAAGGCAGGAGAGGGAGGTATGAGTAGGAGTCAGAGTTGGAGGGTTATAGCCCAGTTCTATTCTACAGAATGTGAAAAATTACCTTTAAAACACGAGGAAAAGCATCAAGGCTCCATTGGGTTTACTGTGGCTAAATCATTCTTGGAGTATGGGTCCCGAACAATAGGTCAGAAGATGTTTGACCACGGGTCTAGGAAAACTGTAATGGGCCTCATCCAAGAGTCTGAACAAGAGGGACTAAATGAACTAAGGGTTATAGCAACAGATATAAAAGCAGGAGAGCAAGAGCATTACAAGTGTAAAATTTAGGAAGTCCTAAAGGCTAAGGCCCTGTGAGGAGGCCTTGTGAGAAGAGGGAATGTTGGGAGATTCCCAGGTAGTGCCAGTTCACCTGAGAGGTAGGGGTTTCATTATCTACAGTAGACAACGAAAAAAAGAAGCTTAGAAGACACGGAAAAAGAAGCTTAGATTGGGATATGGGTAGATGGATGCTCTTATGACTCTGTACCGTGTGCAGCTGCCTGGACAGGGTTTAACCAGGGTCTGTCAACTTGACACAAAGGAGTTACAAATATATAAAACAAGTTCTTCTATATCTCCTCGATAGGGGTAGTCTCCCACCAGAAAGAACACAGTTTGAAAGTCCGAACTACGTAAACCCTTAAAAAAAATGTACTTTGAGATTCAGTTAATAAAATAATGAATAGATGAAGAAAACTCGTTATGGGATAGCAAAAGTACCCAACACAATCGTTATAGTTTGTGTGAGTGTATGTGTGTTGTACATCTTTGTATACACATGTGATCACACATATCACCTCTTTAAAGAACTGTCTCCAGATACAGAGGGGGTGGTGGTGGTGGTAGTGGTGGTGGTGGTGGTGGTGGTGGTGGTGTGTGTGTGTATGTGTGTGTGTGTATGTTTAACTCTATGGCAACACTAATACATTTGACATCCAAAGTGGCATTTCCTTTGAGAAAGACTATGCCTTTTGGTCTCTTGTTACAAATTTTTCCGTTTGTCAGAGAGGCAAAGGTTGAGCTAGATTTCATGATTATACTGGAGTATAATAATATTCTTGAAAATAGAGTTTTTATTTCATTTTGGAGATTTTAGTCCGTTTGCACATAAGCAACACCTTTAAGCTGTAGCCAAGTAAGTAGCCAATTATCTTCTCCCGCTGCCTTCACACCGGTTGGTAAATGCCAGAAAAGGACATACATCCTGCCAGGATGACAAGCCACCAAGATGTGCCTTTGAAGTGAAGATGCTGCAAGGGAATTCCATATTGTTGGCCTGAGGGCACTCACGGCAATGTTAACTTTCACTTTGGCTTATTTTTAATGTAGGAACTAATTGTGTATTTTAACCCTGGCCTGTTTCATAACTCTCTTTACACTTGGCCTCCCTTTGATCTTGTCCAATCATCATCGGGGTTGATGCTCCGTGAAAAAAGCTCCTAGGACTTGGGCAACTTTGGCCCAGCGGCCAGGTGACCGAGACTGGGTGGGGACCCGCAGAGTTTTGTGGGCGCGGAGCCTCTCGCATACCAATCTCCTCCCACCATCATCGCTCGCCGGGAGGCGGAGAGGGCTGCAAAACTTCGCTCCAATCCGCTGCCGCTCTCCCCAGGGTCCCCCTGCTGGGCGACCCGCCCGCTGTGGACTGGAGTTGGTGGAACTTTGCTGATAAACTGCTCCTGAGAGCTGGGGAGGGAAGCTCCCCGCCTCCCCACATTCCGGCTCCCCGGCCCCCGCCTCCCGGTCCTCGCCCAGCCGCCCGCTCCGGTGATAGGACGAGCCCCGGGCGTGCATTGTGTGTATGCAAAGCATCGCCGGGCTCCCGGGGCAGCTCGAGCCGGGGACTCGGCGGCTGCTGCGGCGGCTGCGGCTGGCGCTGGGGTGTATATATGCTGCTGCTGCTGCTGCCACGGGTGCCACCGCCCGAGACTGAGCCCAGCGCTGTCATGCTCCTGCCGTGGGGCGGGCGGCAGCGTCGTCCTGTCGCTATATAAGCGCGAGCGGAGGGGCCACCCGGAGGGGCTGAAAATGAAGGTGCCCGCGCATGGGCCGCCGCTGATTGCCAACCCCTCCCGAGCTCGCTCCCGGCGTGGAGCCCGAGGCCGCCGAGGACCCGCCTTCGCCGCAGTAGCAGCAGGAGCAGCGACGCGGACAGCAGCAGCTGCGGCGGCGGTGGCGGTGGCGCCCCTCCCGCCAGCGCGTAGAGCGGCGGCGACTCCGGGGCCGCCGCTGGCCCCGCTGCCATGAGTTGTGCGGAGGTGATGTATCACCCCCAGCCGTATGGAGCGCCCCAGTATCTGCCCAACCCCGTGGCAGCTGCAACCTGCCCCACAGCCTGCTATCATCCGGCGCCCCAACCTGGCCAGCAGGTGAGTCACCGGCCGGGCAGCCTTCCGGGGGCGGGGACGAGGGGCACCCGGTATCGGTGTGGGTCTCTAGCCGTGTCCCGCCCGGACCCGAGGCGCGGAGGATGCTCTGGGACCTGCAGGGAGTCACAGAAAGAAAAAAGACCAAAGGGCAGGGCTGCAGGTGGCGGGGCTGGGATCCCTGGAGTGGCTTTACCTGGCCCGGGGCTTCTTTGAGCTGTGTCACCTGGACACAGAGGCTGTTAAACTCCTAGCTGCGCTGGTCGTTGGGATTCAGTTCTCTGAAGCTCACCAAAGGCATCTGTCTTAGGACTGTGTGAGTAAACTTTTAACCCGAATACTTTGTTTCCTTGGGCAAGTAGGGTTTTTCAGCGTTTTCTGGATTAAGAGGGGGAAAGTGGGCCACGGAGGTAGCAGGGGTTACCTGATCAGTGAGCTTCATGAAATGATCGTTCAGGGACTTTTAGGGTGGAACTCTGCTCTGATGGAAGACACATTCAGAGTTAGAACTTATCCTTTCTCTCCGGGGCTGTGATTTAGATGACGGGGTTGCCCAAAAGACTCTTCATTCATTTTCTATCCCCAACAAAGCACACAGCTTGTCTGTGTCCATCAGGGGACCCGTGTTTCTCAGCCCAGAGGTAGCCTTGAGTGTCAGCATGCCTGGGCCGCACCCAGCCAAGACATTGAAAATGTCAGTAAAAAGGGCCGAACATCTAGGAGATGATAAGAAAGAGTAGACACCGGAAAACTCGACACTGGGATCCTTGAGCAGCACTTTGTGGCCACATAGCGAGCGCACAGAAATGTGGTTAGCACTATCTTAAAATCAGGAAAACGTGCATGTGGCAAGAGACGGTACTGAAACAGAGTTCTTGGACTCCAAGGATTAGAGTAGGGGTAATTTCATTGAAACTTAAAAACTACAGCTAGATAGAGTTAGAAAATAATGAATTACAGAATTTATTGACTTGTTTTCATTTCTTAGGAACTGTATGTTTTATTCTGGCCTTCAGGGTTTGGCCCTTGGAGGAATCTGACCTTTGAATTCCTATTTTTCCTTTGCCTCTGTCCCTTTTCTACAAGTACAGGGCTACTCGTTGGGAAAGAGACTATTGCTCTCTGATTAAAATGTACTGGCTGTTAAATTCAGCTGACTCTGAAAGGGTACAAATTCAGGATTCTCCGATAAACAGCCCCGTCTTAATGAAGACCAACAGGGCACATGAGAGAAGAGCCACCTTCTCGCTCGTCTTTATTTATTTACTTTAATATTTGACAACTTTACCATTTCAAAGTGAAATGACGTTTGATGGGAGAGATGGCAAGCATTTTTCTAGTTTGTGGTCAAGGGTGATAACTGAAAATGTTTTGGCTGCTGATGGTTTCTTTGACATATACAAAACAGAAGTATTGTAAATTCAAGGGAGGCAAAAAGACCTTGGATACTACTAACACCTAGCTCTGTATGAAACACCCTTTGCTCCATCTCTGATGCTGTAGAGGCCTTCAATTATCAGTTGGAATGTGGATGAGCAACAGGCTGAGATGTTTCTAAATGTTCAGAAAGATAACTTTCTCTTCTGAAATGTAAAGAATAGTAGAAGTTGTGAATAAGGTTGTTGCTTATGGAGTTATGAAATTAAATCCATTAAAATAGGTGTCTATGGTAGGCGGCATCATTGTAATACTCTTTCAGCTAAAACAATCAAAGGCTGTTTTAGAAAAATCAAAAATCAGTAGTCAGGAAAGCTAGTTTTCAGTGAGAACTGACTACAGGTACTTTATCTTATTTTGTGATAGCCCAAAGTTTCAACCCCAGATTCCATTCTTTTGCTAAAACTATCAACAAGCTGACAGATGAATTAAAAAATAAAACACCAGAAGAGTCTAAACTGTCTGTGTTGAGAAATTACACAATGCCCAGCTTCTGCTATATTCTGAACTATATTCTGTAGACTTCTTTTAAGTAGATGGTTGGCTGAGTTTCTTGGAAGGATTTAGTTGAGAGGTGTGTATGGAAACTTTCATACTTCTCTGGCTAATTGGCTTATTTGATACTTAAATTTTCCCCTAGTAAATAAACGCTTGGACTGTTATTGGTTGATGGGCTAAAGAGACTTGACAGTGTCACTTTCTTCTCTCTTACTGTCGGAGTTTATTTTGATGACCTATATTTTCTATTGGAAGAAAGAGTAAGTCAGGAAATTCTTATCAGCCTGACAACATTTTTAGACTATGCAGTGCGTGGGTGAAGTGGGACTAATATTGACTTGGCCCTCACACAGTCATCTGAGAATACATATTTTGGTTGTTTTTGCATTCCATAAGGTTTTATCATTATTGTCCACGAAGGTTGTTTTCTCCGTACATGGGATTTGACCCCTAATAACATCTTGCTTGGAAGGCAAAAATGAGGACTGCAACTCTTGCTGCTTTAAAACAACAACAAAACAAACACAAACAAAACACACTTGATTTGTTGAGGAGGAGAAAAGAAAAAAAAAAAAAGAAAAGGAACATAAAAAAAATGACAGTGTAATCAAAAAACGTAATGGTCATTTATGAAGTAAGTGCCGGATGTGAGATTTTGACATTTAGTACTGCTTCTGCATTCAGTTGTCGTAATGTGTCCTTAGTTGTTCTCTCTTCAAAACTGGCTGTCTAGAGTTCTTGTACATTTGTTTTTATTTTTTATTTATCTGGAAGGAAAAGGAATCAAATGCAGAGTCTCATACGTGCTAGGCAAGCAGTATACCACTGAACTACACACAACCCTTCCTCTGAAGTTCTTGCAAATTAGTGTATCAAAATAGTTCATTATGATTGATCTTAAGCATGGGTGCATTTTCATTGTCTGAAATGAAATGAAAGACCCTCATTTTTCATCCATATATACTACCAGCTTTCCCTCTAACTCTGAAAGTTTTAAGCTTAAGTTTTTCATTGAACATATTGTAGGGGTAGGTAGGTAGTAGATGAGTGTTTAAAAAACCCAGTAATCTGCATACAATTGCCGCACTACAGGGTCTTATTCCAGTTAAACCAATCAAACTAATCTGCACGTGTCTGAAAAGTAAATCCATGGAGTTAATTCCTCGACACTGTGTGCTGGGCTCTAGTCTTCCAGTGAACTTTACAGAGGCAGAACTTTGTGAGAGATTCTGAGCAGCCTCATCCCCAGCCTCACCAGCTCTCCATAGCCTCCAGACAGCCCTCCTCCCTATCTCCCTGGGAGAAGCCTTGACTCAGTCTCAGCACATGCTCGGAGGCTGATGACACTGCAGAACGTGAACAGAAAGGAATGCGCTTGTAGTCGACCAGTGACAGTAGGAAACAGCACAAGGTTTCGAAATGCGTGTCAGGAAAAATTGAGGGCAACGATATGAACTCAGAGATTCCCTTCATACCCAGTGGACTTCTCATCTTAAAGGCAGACAGTCTGTTGTCTAAATCCTCTCCCATATTAAGAATGTTAAATTAGAAGTACACTTAAAGTCAGGCTTCTGGATGAAAGGACAAACACAGACAGCAGTAGCTGAAACTTCCACATCTATATAGATTTTTTAATGGTCATTTTTGGCTTCTGGTAAGTTAGAACCAGTTGACTCTCTCTTCTTCAAGGATAGCAGCTGGGTGAAAATGCCCACAGGCCATCTCTTAAAAAAAAAGTTTCTTTGGGAGGGGAGACTTCAGTAATGTTTATAAGGAGTTTTTGAAACTCATTGTCTGCCTGCTGCTACCTTGGTTAAGTTACAAAACGACCCTGAGATTCTGTTTCCCACATGGGAAAATCCTAGAGGGTGGGGAATGTATTATAAATGGGAAAATTCAGGCCCATGGGGTTGGAATTCCTGGCTAAAATTTCCATGCTCATTGGTAACAGGATCAGGACCAGCAGATCTCTTTTCTTGGAAGAGCATCCTTCTACCATGTCATGCAGTTTCCCAACCATTTTCCCCTCCTTATTACACAACAGGTTAATTTTTGTCTTTAGTACCCCAATCAAATTTTTTGATAAAGAAGATTAACATGCAGTAGATTCTTGGGCCTTGGAGCTTGATATTCTTTCCAAGTCCTTGGTAGTGTACTTTTTAAAGTTTAGAAATGTCAAAGCCTTTGTGCAAACTGTTGTAGTGTGCTAATGACTTTTGCTCTCCATGTTATATACTTTTTGAAAAAAATGTGTACCTACTTAGCAATTGAACATTTGTTTATTTAAAATAAAATGCAAGCAATGGCATTAACGATCATATTTAGGTGCCTCAGTTTTATTGGTACTCAAACATAATATTAGATTCATTCAGAGGAAAGAACTCAATTTTAACCTAAATAGTGTCATTTACACAGTCAAATTATTTAAGGCTGGGGATTTAATTTTCTTGTAACTGTAAGCAAGGACTTAAGTATATTTGCAAGGATTTCTACAGGACTTCTTTGAAAAAGAGCAGCCTCTATAATCCCATGATACACAAATTAACTTGACAGCAAAGCTTTAAAAGCTTAAGTTGTCCAGAGTTTCATGTTCCTAGTAACTTCCCAGCAGAAGGAAGTCAGAGACAGAAACAGTTAAGCATTAAAGTAACCAAAGTATCCACAGGGCAGTGATTCAGAATGGAGATTACAATGATACCAGAGAGGGTGGGGTTAAAAGCCACAAAAGTCTCACAGAGTGAGGATGTATTCACCTAGAAATCAGCCACTAGGAGATGGTACGGCTAGACATTTAATAAAAAAAAAAAAAGTATTTGCCCAATATGCAAAGAGCACCACTTCACTTAGCATTTAGTAGACACTCCACAAAGCTTGAAGTGGTGCAAAGGATGCCCATCAAGGGAAATCAGAGAAAAAGCCCTGCTCCCTTTGCTTGACTTCTCTTCCAGTACTGCAGGTGAGACCCTAAACTAACCCCGCCGGACCATCTGTGCAAAGGGAATTTTCCAAGAGATAAAAGCAATTATGCACGTGATGCCTGGGGCAGGTCCTGCAGTACAATTGTCAGG